TGATGGTCATCAGGGCCAAAGGGACATCCCAACATGACACCTTCTCCCTGCTGGGCACCTCAGGATCTGAAGCCAGGAGACCTCCCCCAGTAGCTGGAGAGCTTGGAGCGTCCGTCTGGCAGGAGAAATCTGGCAGCTGTAAGGGTGGGGGGGGCGGCCTCGGGCTTCCTCTCTGGTGGAGAGGCTACTGGGAGGGGCAGGGGGCAGGGGGCAGGAGCAGGAGGCGGTTGCCGAGGAATGGCCGAGGCTGTGTGGAAACAAGGAGTGGTTGGGTGCTGAGCGACAACTCATCCTTGACCTAGAAGACGTTAGTGTGGGAGAAGGTCCGAGCTGATGCAGATAGAATTTGGGGGTGATGTCCAGGTCCCACAAAAGCCAGACGAAGATACTGGTGTTGGGTGGACTGAGGTCTGCGGCACAGCCAGTGCTCCTGGAAAGCGTGCAATGCAGGCCAGCGGTGGAAAGGAGAGACCTTCAGCCGATATTAACGAGGGCTGGTGGCTGATTCGATGTGGCGGGTGCAGGAGAGGAAGGAGCCTAAATGACTCCCAGATTTCTGGCTGCTCTTTGTTCGCAGTCCCTCCCTCCTCCAGCACTGGCGTCATCGTGCTGGGACACAGCTCTCGGGCTCTCTGCAACGATGGAGAAGTTCTGCCCTGGGCTGTCCAACGCGGTGGCCACCAGCTACGGGCAGCTACCGAGGGCTGGGAACGTGGCTTGCGTTCTGAAGGAGCTGAATTCTGAATTTTATTGAATTTTAATCCGTTTGCAATGAAATAGCTACATGTGGCTCATGGCCATGCATCGGGCAGCGCCGCTTAGAATGTCACCACTCACCGTTTGCTTCAATGTTGCCATTCTGACCCTGGCTGTAACCATTTGCTTCAATGTTGCCATTCTGACCCTGGCTGTAACCATTTGCTTCAATGTTGCCATTCTGACCCTGGCTGTAACCCGGGACCCTCTGCCTCCTCTGCTGGGCACCTTCCTGAGTTTGGGGTTGGATGCCTGTCTCCCAAACCCCACTGTGTGAAGGGTGGGCCTTCAGCGAGCCGTGCCCCAGCGGCATTTTCTGCTGAGAGGAGCTGCTGGGGCTACAGGGGCTGTTGGGCTTGTTTTCTAAACTGTTGCTAATTGTTGCTAATCCAGGGAGATCCTAGGCTTCTCCCTCTGGAACAGCTGGCCACCCGATGGGGACAAAGGGAGAGGGAAAACCATGTTTATAAAATGCCTTCCTCAAAAGGTGCTGGGCTGGGTGTGGCAGCGAGACAAAGTACAAACATGTGGTGCCTGAGCTCTGGGAGGCGACTGTCAGACTCCTTGTGACAATAAGGAGGTGGGCGGGGCCAAAGAGGACAGGCCCGATTTTAAGCAGAGGGAAACTTGGATGTGTCTGGGGGTGTTGCCCCCTTCAAGGGTGCACCCAGCTCCACACAGGGCTGAGGGGGGATGAAAACTGCTGACGAGGAAGTGTCTCCAGGCCTCCCACCTCTTCCGGATCCTGCAGTTGGCCCAGGGTCCCCCCGTCATCCGCCCTCCTGCTCGAACGTTTTGTTCCTTGTTGGGGTGGTGAAGCTGGCGGCCGATGGGGAGGGTTGAGGAGCTGCAGGTCCGAGAGGCGAGGGGGAAGGGAAGAGGCGTTCACGGGGTTGCTGTGGAGCCTGGCGAAGGACTTCTTCCCAGGGTTTGGGAGACGGGAGTCCAGAACTTGAGTCATGCTGGAACTGACCTCAGATGGCTCGACCGCAAGGCAGCCCAGGGCCTGGGCCACGTGTGGCCGGCCGTGGGGGCCACTTCCCGGACCTGCCTCCGCTGCCCTCCTGGGGGCAGACCTGTCCCTCTGTAGGGGACGCCTCCCAGTGGGAACGCTCAGGGCAGCCTGGAGCCGAGTCTGGTTCGAGGTCGAGTCATCCCGTGACTAAATGAACACACGGTCAGGATGCGGGCTTTGCCGCCAGGCTTGGTACAGTGGTGCAGAAGGTATTTCTGAAGAAGAAAAGCTTTCGCTCTGGGTTTGCTTTGGCCTCTGCTGCCCTCGCTGTCTGCCCTGCGCCTCGGATGCTTTGCTGGCCTGTCACGTAGGTCCACCCCACTGACACCCTCACCCCCAGGCCAGCTG